TGATGTAAATTACGCCATGGCAATTCCTCATCTACTGGAAACAATATGAGATATGGCAGCTGCTTCACCCTTAGCAGAGGAGTGTCCTGGGTGTTCCAATCTAAGGACATCATTTTATAAAGGTCAAACGCCAAAAAGCACAAGCCCTCTACAGTGCAGTTTCCCATTCAGAGTTGCTGTGCACTGCTCACACAGTGCAAAGGAGACACGAGAGAACGCAAATCCTGTCTGCTCTGAGTCCTTCCTCAGAAGTGTCAGCAGAGAGGTACAGACTCGGAATGATTATCAGGCTCCCTGTTTTCTTCTCTTCCTTGCACGTTGGACTGTTCAAAGGGCTGTGGTAGTTGAAATGAAATCATGTAAAATTGAGTGGAATTTGAATCCCAGAAAAAATCCTCATTAAATACAGAACATCACAAATTTAATTGGGTATGTGGTCAGGCGATTTATCTAAACCATGAAGCCCTAATATTGCTAAGTGGCCACATATGCTCTAAACTGTCATTGGTTCAGAGTTCTGCACTTTTTGGCCWCAGAAATCTGTTTGAGATCAGATGTCCATAGGTCTGCATGGAGATAGGTCTAGCTCCTCCTCAAAAAAGAAATACAGAGTCATGAAGTAGATGCCTTCTGATGGAACTAGGTCAGATTGAATATTTCTTCCATTGCCTTTAGCTGCTGACGTTAAGCAGACACCATAAAACTGTAATTATTTTTTAAGAGATTGTCAAYATTGTATTGTCCCTTGCTATATTTCTGTTGTGGTTTAGGAATCATACTCTCAGTTCAGGGACACTCCCAGTGAGACTCTCCCAAACCAGATGCAGTTTGCTTGCTCCCCACCTTCCCCTCCCCAAGGCCATAGCATTACTCCAGGTGCTGGTACCCAACTTCTCCAGTTTGATCTTTGCTGGTGCTCACATCCAAGCACACCCACATGTGCTAAAGTTGCTGTTCTTAGGTGGAACGGACTTGCAAAACCAGGTTTCTTAACAGGATCTACACAACCTTTCATACCTTTTGCAGGGTATGAACAATCTCATTGTCAATATTTTTTTCAGTATGTGAAATCAGAATTTCCTTATTCCGGGCATACCCAAAACAAGGCACAAACTACATTGTGTCTTCTATTTCACATGCTGACTTGTTTTCTAGGAGAATATCTGTTTTGATCAAAGCTAATTTCTGTCCCTTTACTACTTTATTTATCTTCGCTTTCATATTTACTTGATGTCTATTGAATCAGTGAAACACAAACAGAGTATCTGTCTATATAGCAGCACTGCAATGATCAATAAATACAAGAGGATTTGCTAATAATAATAATTTGCTAATTTCCTAGAAACTGAGAAATCTATTAACTAATGCTGACCACAGCAGATGGAGGAATATTATATTATATCAATGCAATGAAATATTACAGTTTTATGATTGCTTGCATTGCTTTTGCAACCATAAATGGAGTACAGGGAATCTTAGAAGACTGCACTGTAACTGCAGTCCACACTTACTGAGAAAATMATGCTTTTACAGAAGAGCAGGTCTCACTGCAGGTAAATCATGACTTCAACTGTACAYTTAAAAAAAAAAAAAASCAAACTGATMTGAAMGTATGTGAAAARAWMCCCAGACCCAAAGGAGTCTTTGCATGTGACATCAACTTTTTTTTCCMCAATTATGAATTCCATTTATTTCCTAGCCAATATTTCCCCTCAACCTAATATGTAATTTATGGTTTTCCTACATCTAATTAGCTTAGAATTTCATTACTTCTCTTTAAAGGACAGAAACATGCTGTTAATTTCAGACTGAGACCTGTAGTGTTGGGAACATCAATACTTTGACATAACTTTTCTCAATAAAACCAAAACTTTAAAGCCTTGTCCATTCATTTTGGAAGTGGAAAAAGTTTTATATCCATTAACAGGCAACAATACATTCACTATTTGCTATGATATTATTAAAATGAAGTACAGTCTCTAGATCTCAGGAAAGTCTTGCTTAAAGTCAATTTGTCTGTCTCCCTTCTTTT